GGCCAGCCCTGTGGCTGAGTGGTTAAGTTCGCGTGCTCCGCTTCAGCGGCCCAGGGTTGAGCTGGTTCTGATCCTGGGCGTGTGGACAGGGCACTGCTCATCAGGCCATGTTGAGGCGGCATCTCACATGCCACAACTAGGAGGACCCATAACTAAAAATATACAGCTATGTACCGGGGGGCTTTGGAGAGAAAAAGGAAAAATAAAATCTTTAAAAAAAAAAAAAGATAGTAAAACAATAAACTTAAAGAAATTAAATAAAATAATAAAAGATAGCAGAAATTAAAAATACAACAGAGAGGAGCAACAAAGCCAAACAGTGAATTTTTTTTAAAAAGGACTAATAAAATAGACAAACCTTTGACAATTTTCATTAAGAACAAAGAGAAAGGCACAAATAAACAATATTAGGAATGAAAATGGGGACACAATTACAGAAATAGAAAACATTTGAAAATTAGCAAACTTAGCCAATTTCCCAGAAAAACTTAATAGTAAAACTGATGCAAAAAGAAATAGCAAATTTTAATAGTCCTAGAACCATTAAAGAAATTGAATCAGTGAGTATTAACCTATATCGTATAAGGAACTATAAACCTGAACTGTTTCTAGAGAGCAATCCACGAATGTGTATTAATTGCCATGAAACTGTGACCCAATAATTTCATCCTGGGGATTAACTAAGGAAGAACACAAACGGAAAAAGAAAGTATAAAGATATTCGTAGTTGTGCTATTGATATTAGTGAAAGAAATGTAAACAACCAGAATGTCTAACATTTAGGCAGTGGCTAAGTAAATCATATTATATGACAGAGTCATTAAAAAGGAAAAATATTTCAAATTCATAAATTTTAAAGGAAAAAGTGGACAGATTTGAATATATCAAGAGTTTAAACTTCTGTATCATGAAGGACATCGTAAGTCAAGTTCAAGAAGACAAGCGACAGAGAGCTGGAGGGAATGCAACCAGGATTCAAGGGTGCCTGGGTTCTCAGTAGGGTGGAGCTCACCACTACCCGGGCCTCAGCAGGGGGCTGAAGACAGAAATCTCCATAGAAACCCCATGGAGAATGAATGGAAATCCAAGAACTGCAGGGATGTGCGCCCTGTCCGGGAGGATGAAAGAGAAGGCTCTGCCCACTTCTAACTTCTGGAAGGAAAAAGCCCTTAGGATTAGGCAGAAGGGTGCCCGAATTGTCAGGAAGCAATGGCTGAAGGAGGGTCTAGGTGGCTGGGCCAGAGGGCAGGGCCACCTCACCCAGTTCTTTGTATCCAGGGTGCTGCTGGTTGGGGCGGCGGGGGGAGTCAGCTCAGGGTCCCAGTCTCTAAGGTAGAAGGAGGGGCGCATAATGGCTGAGAGAGTCAGCCCACCAGAAGAGGCCAGAAGGAAAATGCCAGACGGTATGGACCCTGGGACCTGATGCCACAGAGGACACCATGGGAAGCACCAGCAGACGTCAAAGACCTTTGGTGACAAAGACCAGGAGGGTGAGTATCCACAGAGAAGGCCAATGTAAATATAAATATGTAGAATAAGGATACACGTTGTTCATTTTTTAATATTTATCGAGCACCTGCTATATGTGAGGCACAACCCTAGAAGTAAGATGATAGTATAAGGTAGAATTACTTACTCGTTTTCCTCCTTAAAGCTTGCAAAAATATAAGTAGGAAAAGATGCAAATGTTAAAACAATGATTAAGAGAAACACAGAATTGCTAAGGAACAGGTGGCATAGCCCAAGTTTAAGGGTACATGCCCTAACCTTAGACTGCCTAAGTTCAAATCCAGACTCTGTAACTCACTAGGTGTGTGCCTTCTACGTTTCAGTTTGCCTGATGAGAGCACCTCTCATGGGGTGTGGTAAGGGTTAAATGAGACAGACCAGTGCCTGGTGATACAATAAGGGCTTTCTTCTTCAGAAGTTTTCCTGGACTGCTCCGCAGTGGCTTCACACATACCCACCATCCTGTCTCCCCACCTGGACACCTTCAAATTGCTTTCTCCTCCCCATCTGTTTACTGCCAGGACCTAGACCAACAGGAGGCACTGGAATAATTTAAGTCCCTCAGAGCTGTCAAAACCTATTATCCAGGCTTAATGTGTTACCATCCACCAGCAGTCACCTTTTAAAAGAGGACATTTGTAAACTCCAAAGAGTGACTCTGGGGGCAGCAGTTCAGGCACAAAGGGAAGCACCCATCAGATCCCACTAATCTACTCACTCATTAGGCCAACTGTGCTGGTTTGAAAAACATGTCTATAAATCCTCTGACACTCTTTCTCGCAAAGACTGGAGTTTAATCTGCCTTTCCTTGTATATAATATAATCTGATTTAGTGACTCACTTCTCATGAATAGCTGAAATGATGCTGTGTGTCTTCTAAGTCTGGGTCATAAAACGCAACACAGCCTCTGCCTGGTTCTGGCTCACTCTCTCTCCACCCCTATCTCTTGACATGTAGATGTGTACCTCTGGAGCCCTGAGCCACCAGAGAAGGAGGCTGGCATCCCTGAAACTGCCATGCTGAAAAGACCATATGGAGAAACCACATAGAGATGGAGATGCCTGAGAGCCCCAGTTTTTCTAGCCTCCAGCTGCTCGTGTCTTCCCAGCCCAAGGCCCAGACAAGTGAGAGAGCAAATCTTCAGGTGATTCCAACCCCTAGTCATTAAGCTGTCCCAGCCAACACTGAATGGAGCAGAAATGTGCTTGTCTCCACAGCCCTGTCCAGACTTAAGGCACTCATGAGCAAAGTCAATGTTATTGTTTTCAGCCACTAAGTTTTGAGGTGGTTGGTTAAGTTGTCACAGTAATCAGAACTGGTTCCTGGGTGTGCGACCTGTGCCCTGCTCTCAGAAGGGCCCTGTGCTTAGTCTAATGCTCTGTTGTCACCATCTTGAAATTCTTAATCTTATTTTTGCACTGGGCCCTGAAAATTATGTACCTGGTCCTGAACCCTGCCCACATGAATCACTGTCACTCTCCTCCTCTTGGTCCTATGTATCCATCACATGTATGTAACTATTCAGTATGTTCAGTGAACAGAGAACAGAGTTTTGGAACCAGCCAGAACTGGGTTCAAATCCTAGCTCCACCACAGACTGTCCCTGTGACCTTGGGTCACAGTTAATTATTCTCACTAAACTTCAGTTACCTTCTTTGCATAATGCAGATAATAATAATTCTTACCTCACAGTGTTATGGTGAATATTAAGTGGATAATGAATTACTCCTTACACAAACTAATGCAGTAGCCTGTCGTTCTTGTCCCTGCCTCTGGTATCTTCTCCCTTTAAAGAACTCTCCAGACCCACATCAGATTAATCTTCCTTTGCTAGAGCTCCATCGCCCCACAACTTTCAATGGCTCCTGTTTCTGTTACAGTCCGGAGTCCTCACCTGGGCCTTCAAGCCTTTCTACAATCAGACATCAAGTTACCATTTTAGACTCATCTTCCAGTGCTCCATTATGCTAACACTCTGCTTCAAACAGAGGGGTTAGTGGAGTCTCCTAAAATACTTTCTACTTTCACTTTCCAGTGCTTTTGCCCAAGCTGCTCCACCTCCTGCCTGGAACATCCTGGGCGCTCCTGACAACATTAGTGTCCTGGCTGTAGTCTACTTCACAAACTGAAATAATTGCATGTGGACTTTTAGTGTCATCTAAGTAATATTCTCTTAAGTAATGCTTCCACCTGTGACATTTTTAGTACGGGTAACCCACCTCTATGATTTAAAGGAAGTTAGGCTAAGGCACCTCGAGTAATGCGTAATGAAATTGGTGAAATGTGATTTGTTCACACTTACACATTTCCAAGGATTTCCAAAAGCTTTTGTAAGCAACAGAAATAAAGCCGTTACCGAACCACTGCCTGTCAAATAAAAATGTTCCTAGTCATTTCCTACACCTATAACGCTCACAGAAACAGAATTCACCTTAATGACCCACGAGAGCCACCACAACTGTTAACAGTTGTGATGTAATTCAGTGAAATTATTCTCATCCTACACATACAGACACTCACATTCACGATAACCCTCCGGCCTCAGATTTCTCCAAGCCTTTGCCCCAGCGCGTGGGAGGAGAGCTGGGCCTTGGAGTTAGACCTCTGATCAAATGGTGCCTCTCCAGTGCTAACAGTGTGATCTAGGCAGGTGTCTTAACCTCTCTGAGCCCTGGGATAACAGTATCTATCTCATAGGGGTTTGGGGAGGATGCAACAGGATAATGTAGGTTAAGTGGCTGGCAACGAGCAGATGCTCCTTGAGTACTTCAGAGACTCTAGGATGTGGCAGGGGCCTTTTATCTTCCATAACTTCCCATCCAGTGCAAAACTTTCTTCCACAGCATCCCTGTCAATGGCCATTCAGGGTCCGCTTGTCTTTCCAGGACAGGAACCTAGCACCTCATAGGGCATCCATTCCATTTCTGGCTGAGTCTAACTGCCAGGAAGTTATTTGGAACTGAATCCTCTTCCTTAACTTATCCCTCTGGTGCTGCTATGCCTCCCAGCACCCTCCCCCTCCCCCGCCCCGCAAAGAGAAGAGGCAGTGGCTGTACAGCCAAAGGGGTCCCACACCTGAGAGCTGGGTTCAGCCCCCCCACTTTCAGCTCGGGCCCCTCTCCCCACGGCTATGGGAGCAACAAACGAGCCACCAGAGGGAAAAGCGCTTGGGGAATTGTGAAACCCCATCATCACACCTAGAGAGCTCAAAATTCGGTTTCCAGCCCCTGCCTGCACTTGCTCTCAGAGGTAACCTCCTCCGAGCAGTGCCTAGAGGCGAGGGCCACCGCTCCAGCCGCCTCCGAACCGCAGGGGACGCGGAGGGACTGCGCCTTCAGCATCCGAACCCGGAGGCCAGGAGGCCGCCTCAGCCCCGCGGTCCCGCCCTCCCCCGGCACGGCGCGTCCCCGGCTGGCTTTGCTGGGGTCCCCGGCGGTCCCCGAATCGCCCAGCCCGTTGCCCGCCCTCCCCAGGCGGGGCTTGGACCCACCTGCGGCGGCGACTCGGTCCGGCTTCGTCGTCACCCGAGGCTGCGCGCCGCCCGCGCCTGGGCTCCCCACGCCGGCCCTCCCCCGGGCGGCTCCACGTGGCCGCTCCACGTCGCCTCCGCCTGTGGCCGCCGCCCTGGCACGGCCAGAGTCCAGAGGGCCCTCCGCAGCCTCCACCCCGGCTTCCTCCCCGCAGTCCGTCCTGGAGAGAGAGAGAGAGAGAGACAGACAGACAGACAGAGTGTGTTTGTGTGTGTGTGTGTGTGTGTGTGTGTGTGTGTCAAAGACAGATGGTGAGCCTGGGGGTGTGTGAGAAGCATGTTTTAACTGTGGTGATGCTGTGGCTGCCACTGCCTGCAAGGATCCAGTTGTGTATGACAAAGAATGTAACTTACTGTTTGTGTGATTGTGAGTGGTGTATGAGGAACTTGTGACACAGTGGGGGGTATTTTGTGTGACTGTGTAACCAGTGTGACAGTACAGGCTTCAGAGAGTATGGCCAATGTGTGACTGTTTGTCTGGGTGTGTGATGGTACAAGATATTAGTGGTATGTGTGCTAGGGTACCTGGATGACCTCTTCCTGAGTTGTTTGTGATGCTGGAGAGACAGCTGAGACTGCTGGTTTCCAGCAAAGGTGTCATTGTATGACTGTGACCGTGCACATCACTGAGAAGTGGCTCCATGAGACATGGTGGAGGGGGCACTGTCTGGGAAGTGTCATCTTAACGGTGATGGGGGCAGTTGCTTGCCTGCACAGAGTGCTGTGGTGTGTGGCTGCAGCTTTGTGTTCAAAATGGAGTGTCACCTATTTTTGTCACAGTGGCCAGTTCCTCCACCTAGACTCTGGACTACATCTTCACTCACTGACCCAAGGACTTAGTTCTCTGAATGAATGACTTCTTTTCTCTCTGGAATCTTCAACTTCTCACTCTCCATCAGCTCCTTCCCATCAGCATCCATCACAACAAACCCAGACTCACTGAGGCCACCAGGTGGCTCTCCTTCCTGTGGTAGACACTACAGGACACTGCCTCCTTGGATCATGGTATCCATTGGTTTCGGCTACACCATTCCTCTCTTTCTTAGTCATTTCTTAGTTTTCTTCATGCATCACAGTTCCTCTGGGCTTTCTCCTCACTTCCTATCTGTTCATGTGTTTATGTGGCTTCTATCATTATCTGTTTTGAGTTGAACTGTGTCCCTCAAAAATTCATATGTTGAAGTCCTAACCCTAATACCTCAGAATGTGACCTTATTTGGAAATAGGGTCTTTGCAGATATAATTAGTGAAGATGAGGTCATACTGGAGTAGGGTGGGTCCCTAATCCAGTGTTACTGGTGCCCATATAAAAAGGGGAAATTTGAAAACAGACACACATACACAGGGAGAATAGTATGTGAATATGCAAGAAGAGACTGGAATGAAGCTTCTACATGCCAAGGAATGCCAAAGATTGCCAGGAAACCACTAGAAGTTAGAGGAGAGGCATGGAACAGATTCTTCCTAACAGCTCTCAGAAGGAACCAATTCTGTTGACACTTTGATCTCAGACTTCTAGTCTCCAGAACTGTGAGACAATAGATTTCTGTTGTTAAGACACCCAGTTTGTGGTACTTCGTTATGGCAGCCCTGCAAACGAATATGGCATCTCAATGCTGATGACTGCCAAACCTCCAATTCCAGTCGCTTACCCCACCTCAGGAATTGAGCATCCTACTGATTTGTGCCTGGGTCTTAATTTATAAGAGTGACTAATGCCACCATAAGAAAAGTTTAATGTTACAGTTCTCCTAGAAACAAGAGCCACACAGGACCACAGGGGGAAGCATCCATGTAAGTGAGAAGGCAGAAAAGAGCAAGAGGAAGGCATGGGCCACAGCCCATATTAAACAGGAAAGGCAAGGTAGGGCAAACAGTTTAGGATTGGCTAGTTTGAATAATTCCGGTGGGTTTGGGGGCATAAGGGCGATCTCTGGCTGTCTGGGGTTGTCTCTAGTTGTCTAGTACCTGGGCTTCGGTTGATTTGGAACAGGGGAAATATTGGTTTGATGTGCGAGAGTTAGATAAAGGAAGTGGTTCAGAATATGGGCTCTGGATTGCAGGGGAGATATAAACAACTTTGGCGCTTAGTCTGGCCTTGTGATTAATAGATGCCAGATAGACAAACATGGAATCTAAGAAAACACAATTAGAACACCTACTAGCACCCCAGCCTCTATGTGTCTCAGTCAGAAGGAGCATCTTCCTTCTCAAACCTTCCCCTCCCCCAGTTTCCCTATGAGGGAAAGGCACCTCCGTGCACTTCCGTGCATCCCTGAATGGTGCAGTCAGAAACTGGGGGGTCATCCATGATTCCTTCTTCTCCCCCCATCTCCAAGCTACTACCAAGTCTTACTAATACTGCCTCCTATCTTAAAGATTTTCACTTCTCTCGAGGGCTTCCCCCAGTCCGTCATCTGTGCCAAAGTTCTGTTCACAGCCTCCTAATTGGCCTCTCTGCCTCCATTCTCATCCTCCTCCAATCCATGCTCCAAGTGGTCTGAATGATTCTTCTAGAACATGACTCTGATCATGTCACCCACCCCTTCTCAAAATTCTCTGATGGCTTTCCTCCACCCTTAGGATAAACTCTAACATCCTTTATGTAGCTGCTCACAACCTGATTCTTAACAATCTAATGCTCCAGCCACACCAAATTTCTTTTGGTTCCTTTAAGAAGTCTCTCACATCCAGGCTTTTGCTTATGCTCTCCAGGAACGACTACTTTCTCCCCACCTCCCCCTTGCCTGGGAAACTCCTACTCGTTTTTTGCTTTCAGCTTAAATGTAGAGTATTGGCATTTCATGCCTGAGTGTGCTTTCTCTGACCCCATGGAGTTTGGGCACCCTCGTCAGTGCTCCTGCTGCAGCTAGTACTTCCCGTATCCAGCACTGTGCTCCATTGCAGGGGTGCAACCCTGACCACACATTTGAATCTTCAGAGCGCTTTTAACTTATATTGACACCTAGGCTCCTCTCCAGACCAACTCTATCGGGGAGTGGTGAAACCAGCAAACAGCCGTTGATGATTAAGTATCCAGGAACTTAAGTTTTTTCCTTTTTGCAATTACTGATCATAGCTTTTAGCTGTTGAACCAACTCATTGTTAACTGTGCTGCTGAGGTAATATGCTATCTGGCTCCCACTAGGCTCCTATTGCTAACATCTCCCTGGAGCCTGGGTCACCATGGTAATGGGCGTGTGAGCTATTCTTCACAAATTAGAGCTCCTTGTCCATTTCAGGCTGGCTGAGACCACCAGCTCATCAACTGGGCCCACGCAGATGTCCAATAGGTGACCTTTTGACATCAAGAGGCTAAAAACTCCACCCTCAGATCATGCTAGTGCCGCCCTTTTGTGAACATGGGTCCTATGAAGAGGCATGGTCTGACTATGCTCGCACAGACCTCACCTCCAATCACCTCTCTTCACATTTCAGACCACCTTGCCCCCTATCCCATAAATAGCCCTGAGTCCCTATTTTCAGGGAAGCGAATTTGAGGCTCATGCTCTCGCTTCCTCACGTGGCTGCCTTGTGAGTAAACTCTCTTCTGCAATCTTGTCATCTTAGTGTTTGGCTTTCTGGGTGGTGGGCAAAAATGAACATGGTTCAGTAACATTGGGACCTGGGCACTGGTAGTTTTCAGACTCTTAGATGATTCTAATCTTAAATCAAGGTTGAGAGCCACTGTTCTGTAGATTACTTGTTTCTACATTCCAGTGAAGACACGGACAGCATCCCTGGGGTATCTCAAGTGCCTGGTACAGAGTGGACGATGAGTAAATATTGTACTGATGACCTTGATTGTATGAGACAGCATAGAGAGACACTACATGCGTGACTTTAACCTATATGTGTGTGACTCTACGTGTAATGCCAGCCACTCAGTAGCTGAAACTTGACTATGCGACAGTGTGGGGTGTCACAGTGTGAATGGTTGCGGACAGTGTGTGAGGACCACTGTGAATTGGCTGAACACTGTGGGACTGCAGGGTGTCACAATGTGAGTGGCCATGCCCTGAGCATGAAGGTCATTGTGCATGACTGTACCTTGTGTGACAGGGCAGACTGTCACCCTGGGAGTGTCTGTGTCCTGTGTGTGACTGAGTCAGTGGCTGGGGGACTCGGACGAGGCTGCCTGACTCGTCGTGGTCGGGGCAGAGTTTGAGGAAGAAGGAGCTGGAGGTGCCCCTCACCAAGATGGTGCTGGGGGGGAGGCCGCTACTCCTTGCAAGGTGCTGCACCGCTGTGGCGGCGAAGAGCAGACAAGAGGCGCGAAGGCGCTAGATGCCGGCCGGGGGAGCAGGCAGGCTATTTGCAAGGGTCTCGGATCAGCTCCGCGCGGAGCTGCTAGCGCAGCCGGCCCACCCCTGAGACGTCCTAGCACCTCCCGTCGCCGCGGGCCGCACCGGCAGCGGGCGGGGCCGGATCCCGAAACCGACGGGCAGTGGAGGCAGGACACGCACAGGCCGTCCAATGGCGTAGAATGGGCGGGGCCCGGCGCTCACCTGCTGCACAACTAGACACGGTCGAGGGGCTGGAACCACTCAAGAATTTGGGAGTTGGAACCCAGCGACGCAAGATGCTGACCTCCTTCCTGAGCTCCCAGAATGGCATCTGGACAGAGCCCTTCTCTCTGCTTTTGGGTCTTGGCGCTGCCCTCTACCTGGGCTACTACTGGGCGTGTGTGCCCCAGGTGGGTGAGTGTCCAGAGCTCTGGGCAGCGGGTTTGGGACCTTTGGGTCTAGGGAGCAGCTTCCAGCGCGGGGCTCGAGCCCTTTGTGGGAGCTAGCATGGTTGGCTGCCTACCTCACGTGAAATCTGACGCCCCAACCACACCGCCAACCCCGCCGCGCTCTAGCCGGGGTCGCTTTGCTGTTATCACCTAATGGAGAGTAGCTTCTTTGCCTCCCTAGATTCTCTGCATCCTGCGTGTTCCTCACGCCGGCTGGGCCTTTCAGGCATCGGAGGGGTGCTACTCCCTATGCTGTGGACAAACATTTGGGGAAAGTCATCTAGAGGTGTCAGGGAGATATGCACTTTTTTTTCTTTTTAGGCAGGGTAGCTGAGTTTCTCACTAGCTGCACTAAATGAAGGAACTGGAGGCCCGTGGGGCTGTGGCTAATCCCCACATCACCTTATCAGCTTAGTAGGGGCTTGCTTCTGTTAAACGCTGGCAGAGGTTCCCCTCCTAGCTCAGGACTGATGAATAACCCTAACTGCCGGTTCTCATTCAGCCCTGTGTTAAGTTCTAGGTTCTCCATGTATAGTGCAATGGGAAAGTCTGAAGAGGCTGATTTTGATGAACTTGGAGACTTTTTTCTCACTGCAATTTACATAAAACACATAATTTACATATCCAGAAAAATCTAAATCTTTTAATCTTCATTGAACGCTGTTCTAGGTAGCCGAGTCTAACAAGAAACTTATTGATTTAAGCCCTTTGAAAAGACCTACAGCGAATTTTAATGCTACCTAGACTCTTCTGTATTTTCAGAGCTTTCTACATTCACATGTATTGTTTATAAAATAAGTCTGCCTTAACAAAACAATTTAAAAAATCCAAACCTCAATACACTATAAATCTAACCTTCTATGTCTGATTTGGAAAGTCAGTCATTTCAGACCAGAGCTGTTCTTAAACATTTTCCTTTGCTGGCAATCAGCTACACAGAAGTCAGAGACCTCTGCCACTTTATATTCCAAACCCTTCCTTGACTTCCAAATACTGGTTAAAATGCAGGAAAAGTAACATTCTGGAGGCCCTGAGGACATGGAGTTTGGATTATCCAGCACCATAATGGATTGGTATTGATTCATCCACAGTGACCAATGGCATATTACTGATTAATTCTCAGGAATAAGTCAAGAAATGCTTCCTGTGACCCAATTTATTAGTGCCTTGTTCCACACTACTGAGCTGTTTGACCAAGAATTTAATAAATTGACAACTCAAATCTTGGCACTTAGGAGTTAATATAGTACAATGACTAAGACCTGACCTTGAATCTCAGCTTCACCACCAATTAGCTTGGGCAAGCTCTGTGACTTGACAAGTTCCTCAACAGTCAAACCTGTTCCCACAGGGGAATCAGTAGTATGTCTCAGAGAGCTGTTGCGAAGCTCACAGGATAGAATCACGTAAAGCGTTTAGCACGATGCTTGGAACATAATGAGTACTCAACAAATTTTACCTACCAGTATTCATGGTAATATCATTATTATTAATTCTGCTTTGCCTCTTGCTTGCTGTGTGACTTTGAGCAAACAACTTAATCTCTGTGAATCATAGTTTATTCACTTACAAAATATCCTATTACATAAGCTTGGGCTTAGCCTAGTGCCTGTATATGGCACACAGTGAATCACAGTTGTTAATCCAGGGCCTAAAAACCAGGGGACAGGTCATATCTCATGACAGTCACGCTACCAACCTAGCCCCTTTTGAATACTAAGACTGCAAAAGAGCTAGGAATCAGCCCTCAAGTTCCTTAGGGCCTGTGACAGAAACGCAATTTCTATTTCTTGAGTCTGAGGCTTTGCGGCTTTCTACAGCATTCTCTTTCATAAACCTCCTATGTGGCTAGGCCCTTGATGTCTATCCAGAACCCAGCAGAGGGGCCGAAAGTCAAGGCTGAGTGCCCACTGACCTCTTCTGTCCCTGTCATCCTATCCCCATTACCTTTTTCCTGGCTGGCATACAAGAGAAAATCTGCTCACATTGGGACTATCCCTCCCTTACACTATGGTGTAACAGCAGGGGCCACACGAGTAAGAAAATGAGGTGCTGTGGTAGAAAAGAAGCCTTTCAACAGTGGTTACACACAGTAGGGAACAGGAATATATGACAATGGAGTACTAAAATCAGGAGGAGCCAGCCAGCCAGAGATGGTTTGGGGAAGATGACACTGCGTGGATAATTCAACTGCAAGGCAAAGGTCACAGACTGAACGGTGCTGCATTTCTTCAGACGCTGTCCAGCATCCCAAGCCTTCCTGCAGGGAGTTAGCTGGGCAATTTATTTTATATTACCTGCTCTCTCCAAAACCGGTTTGGGGCATGGATGGGCTGAGTGGTGGAGTCAGCACCCAGTCCGCTGCAGCAGCTCCCAGCCCTGGTTCTGAGTCGGTTCAGCGTCAGTTCTGGAGAGGTGACAGTGCAGGAGTGCAGTTCTTTGGGAATGTAGCTAGACTGTATTAACAAGGATGAGTTGGCCATTCCAGGCAGAGAGATGCAAGATTCTTCATGACAAAGCAGTGCCCTCCACGCTGGCCTCTGGAGAGGGATCACTCTGGTGCTGGATGTCTCACTGGGTTGGTACAAAAATCAGTGAAGCAGACTGCGTTGTGTGATTACAGAGGCCTCAACTGGTGACTGGCTCCCGGTTTCTAGCCTTCCTGGTGCAACACTGTCCAGTCACTATGGAGACTTTCTATCCTACACTATGGTGTTTCGAGGGGCGGCTACAAACCATCTTCAGAGTCTTACTGCAGTCTCGGCCTATAGTCCCTTACTGGAGGTAAGACAGGGACAGAAGGGGATGAATATGCAGCTGCAAGCATAGGGGAATCCTGTCTACCTCTTTCAAAATGAAGGTAATCTTTGCCCCATCTGCCTCTGTGTTGAGGGTAAAGAGAGTGGCTAAATGGAAAAGCTATTTAATCGCACAACCATGAGGTAATATTCAATCTTTTATGTCCCCATTACCTTGTTATGTATAATTAAGACTTGTTATGGTCTTAATGTTTTGCATAACGCATGTCCTCAAACATGCTGATGGGAAGCTGTGAGAGTTGTCTGTGGGTGGGGCAGGGGATAAACCTTTAGAAGTACATGGAGTTCCTAACGGTATCTTTGTGTACTCTTTTCTCCAAAACCACAGTGAAGTCCTCCAAACCCCAGATGGAGGACAGCTCCTGCTAGACTGGGCTGGCCAGCATGACAGCAGTCAATACCCTGACCCTACCACCCAGCCCATTGTATTACTGCTTCCTGGTATAACAGGTAGTAGCCAAGACCCATATATCTTGCACCTGGTTAAACAAGCCTTGAGGGATGGGTATAGGTAAGGATCAGCACTGCCCAGAGGAATTGGGTGGGGTCTGAGAACTTGTAATAGGGAGGTCAGTTCAGACCCTCATAGCTATGGGGAGAAGGTGCTATATGGAGGGCACCTTTTGACTGGGGTCCGTCTGAAGGCTACCAAAAAGGGAGAGGGGCTTCTAGGGAGGGTCTGGCTAAGATGCACCTGTGTGTGCCACAGGGCTGTCGTACTTAATAACCGGGGCTGCCGTGGGGAAGAACTGCTGGTGAGTACCCTCCTTCCTCATCGTAGCCCTTCACCCCACTGCCTTTAGAGATCCTTGGCCCTGAGGCTCTACCTACCTATCCTTCTTCCATTTCCCTTCCATCTCTTGAGCCCTTCCATTTTTCTGCCATCTGATGGGGACCTCCCTCTTTACCCAATAATCTGGTTTGCCTCAGACCCACAGGGCCTTTTGTACCAGCTCTACTACAGATTTGGAGACAGTTGTGCACCACATAAAGAACCGCTACACTCAAGCTCCACTGCTGGCTGTGGGCATCTCTTTCGGAGGGTAAAGGATACCTGGGCTTAACCCAAAGGCCCCAGTCTTCCTTTCTTTCCCCCTCCATGTCTTCTCCTCATCTCTGTCCCCAATCACCAATGCAAACCCTTCTTTCATGGTCCCTGGTCCAATCCTGCAGGATATTAGCAATGAACTACCTGGCATGAATGGGACCAGCTGCAGGGCTGGTGGCAGCACTGACTATATCTGCATGCTGGGATTGCTTTGAGACCAACCGCTGCCTGGAGACCCCACTCAACTCACTGCTCTTCAATCAGCGCCTCGCTGCTGGGCTCTGCCAAGTTGTGGACCGGTAGGGTCTCGGCAAGTGAGAGGCGGCAGCAGACAGGGCAGGATGGCACATATGCTGGGTTCTCCCCAGCGCTTGCATCAGTCCTATATCTGGGCTTTCTCACTCATGAGACAGAGGCTGGCTCTGGGTGAGGTCCCAGAATAGAGCCAATCCTCTATGTGCTCTTTTGCAGAAACAGAAAGGTGATAGAAAAGGTGGTGAATGTAGACTTTGTGCTACAGGTATAGTCTTTCAACCATCCCCCTCTGCCCCAAATTGTCCTTCCAATATCTTGTTATTCTCCATCCTCATCCTAGCCTATCCCACCTTCTACTACCTGCAGGCCCGCACAATCCGCCAGTTTGACGAGCGGTACACAGCTGGGGTCCTTGGATATCAAGACTGTATTACTTACTACCAAGCAGTAAGCCCAAGAACAAAGGTAGAGGCCATCCAGATCCCTGTGCTTTGCCTCAACGCAGCTGATGATCCCTTCTCTCCAGTCCATAGTGAGCACCCTGAATCGGGACACTTTAGGCACCAGGGAAAATGGGCCATGAGGTGCAAGTGGAGAGCGCCTGAGCTCTCAGTAAAGGCCAGGGTTCCTGACCTCTTCTCCCACCCCTCCCCCAGCCTTTCCCCTACAGGCTGCCCAACTCTCTCCCCATGTCGCACTGCTCATCACAGCCCGCGGCGGCCACATCGGCTTCCTGGAAGGACTGCTCCCCTGGCAGCACTGCTACATGAGCCGCCTCTTGCATCAGTATGCCAAAGCCATCTTCCAGCACCAAGAGGAGCTGCTCAGCCTCAAGGCTCTCTCACCTTAGGGAGGCAAGAGCTGACAAGAGTAGCATTTGGGGTCTCAGTTCAGTCTTCCTTTGTTTATTAAAGATCAACTTTTCCTGCCACATGGGCGGAGGCTCATTCTCCCTTTGCTCAAGGCTAGGGTAGACCATCCAGGAACTTACTGCATATTTAGCCTGGCCGGCTTCGAGCTACCCAGGTGAATCCATAGATTACTGCCTGGGTCTTCCTTTTGCCCCTTCCTTCCCTAACAGCAAGTCCCAGGCCAGTGCTTGTCCCAGCAAATGCCAGGGGCTCACATGAAGAGCAACTGGCCATAACGCCTTGAGGAGAGGAGGAGAAAATAACTATTTCTTCAGGAAGGACAGCAGTGCCTCCAGGTCCTTGGGCATCTTCACATGTTTCTGGAGAAATGACAAGCTCAACTCTAGAACCCTGGGTAAGCAGAAGGAGGCAGGTGGTATGGCCTGGGCTTCAGACACCACTGTCCTGGGTGGATCCAGAGATGATGAATGCAAGGTTCCCAGGACTCAGAGTCACACAGGGCCACAGCCAAATTTTAACTGGGAAGGGTAGGCAGTGCCCATCAGCCTCATCAGAGGCAACCTGAGCTGTGGATCCAAGTGGAGTCAGCAGTGGGAAACAGGCCTCCACTCTGATCTAGAAGGCGGCAGTGTCCAGGCCCCTGATTCCCTGGTAACAGGAAGGCTAAAGAAAACCTGGAAAGGCACTCTGGAGCAGCAGGATGGTCATAACAATAAGCCCGACACATAGCAGCAGCAGCAGCCACACAGGAACACTCCCTGCAGGAAAGGCAAGGGGAGATGTCAGCAGGCAGAGGGGCTTCACAGCCCAAGGAACAGACACATTCAAGGAGGGGAAAGAAGCTACAAACAAGCAGCCCATTCTCCAGGGGGCAAGTTTTTGCTACAGCTAAAGGTGGGGTGATACCCCCCACGCCAATGACTCACGCCGTGAGGGCAGCAGGTGCAGCTGGCAACGACTATCCACAGCCACAGAGAACAGGGCAGTTTCGTGGGACCCAAGGAGCTCTGGACCACGACCCTTCTCAGGTAGAAAGGCCACATCTGTCACCACAATGCCATGGGCCTCCTTCACGTAGTAGAGGCGCTGGGGACAAGAGGAAAACTAGTGAGGAAGGCCTAGTTGGGAACATTCTTTCTAGAAAACATACCCCTTGCCCCCAGAAGGCTTTCCCTCTACAGACTGGCCCAGACTCCTTCCTGCACACTCAGGGTAGAAGCCAGCCTAGAGCCCCCACACCAAAGAGCCCTCAGAGCTATGCCCACCTCTACCCATTACCTGGAGAGAGAAAGCTATGTAGATGGCAACAGAGCCAGTGACCGTGCCCAGGCCTAGGAAGGTGCCCGATTCACTGCCAACAAACAAGAAAGCGCTCATTGTCCTGGATGCCTGTGCAGCAACCATCACTCACTAACAACAGTCCTCAGGGACTGAGACAGGACACCTTCCTGAGCTCCCCCAGGCACCCCCACACACAGTCAAACTAGCATTGTCTCATACCTGACACTAAGGCAGGAGATGACTTCATGGCCACAGGACCTGGTCCGAAGGGGTAAGAAGGTGGAGCCATCCCAGGCCGTGAGGTAGCAGGGTGGGGGCTGGCGCAGACGCTTATGGGGAATCTGCACTGTGAAAAGTCGCAACCCAGCAGGCTGGTCTGGAACTTGCCCAAACCTGGGGGGCGAGTGAGGGGCTAGTTCAGCTCCTGGAGGCTCTTCAGAGGTTTGTGCCCTCCTGCACCCTGGTCCTGCTTGGGGTAACACCTGCTAAGGCTATGATCCTCCCCAGCCTTCCCCCAGTCTTTGCCCACTCCCCCACCACATCTAGGCCATGTCTCTTTTAGCCACCCTCAGGGTCTTCACACCTGCAGGCCTGGTAGCGGTAAGGCGTGTGAGAAAAGGTGGGTCCATTCTCTTGCCAGTGCAGCTGTGTCACCAGCTGATCCTTCTGCCACACGGAGGCCTTAAGGTCCCAGCCCACAGTTACCAACTAGTCAGGAATCAAGATTCCAAGGATGGACAGTTAGGGAATCCACTTACTGGACAAGCAGCATAACCACCTACTTTATCCACCCTCTCACCTCCTCACCTTGCCTTCAGGCCCCACAGCCAGGTCCTCAATCTCCCCTTCATGGGCTTTGAACTCCAGCACTTTCTCCAGGCTGGGTACCTGCAGCCAAACCACCAGCATGGTTAGCCCAGCAAGAGTACACTGACCCCCATCCCTCTTCTCTTCCAATGGCCGCTCAGTGCAGGCTTCACTCACAAGCCTCCCAGAGCTCATGTTCAGTTTCTCACAATTTTGGCCTTGCTGCTACGGACACACATCCTCTAACCCCCCAAAACCACACCTTCCAGACCCGAACATAGCCATCTGTCCCTCCAGTGGCAAGTAGAGTACTATCGTGGTTGAAGCAGACGACTTTCTGCAGTGGATCAGGGCTGAAGTCTGTCTGCACTGCCTGCAAATTCTCTACACTGAGTTCTACCCCCTCTTGGTGGGTTTCAGCTCCAGATTTCTTCTCTGCTGGGGCTGCCCCCTTCCTTTGTCGAGGCCTCTGCTCCTTGGAACCTGCAACACAAACAGTCTGCCAGGTTCCAGGCTTCTGTAGTAAGTAGTACTGCCCATCTCTACACAACTGGTGAACATCCAGCTTCTCGCCTTTTACCATAACCCCACCTCCAGCCCCACTTCTTTAGAGACCAAGATGAGAGTGATCGCACTCAATTAACCCTTTTCCCAAAGGGTTGGGGAGGGGGCTTCTCACCTGCCTTCTCTGCCTTGTTTTTGCCCTTCTGCTGAAGTGTCTGGAAGCGCAGGAGCTGACAGTGGGCATCCTGCCCTGCAGCCAGGATGTTACCAGCCAGCGCCAAGTTCATGGTGGCTCGTGTCTCCGTGTCATGGGAGTGTAGCAAGGAGGCGCTCAAGCGCCCGTTAATCTGCTCTAGCTGCAGAAAGTGCTGTGGGAGAGGGAACCAGGATGAGTAAGGTTCAGGGGTGCCTGGAGAACACCTCCAGGGCAAACTTACATCTGATAGTCTGATGCCCTCCACCTTTGCTTACTGCACATTCTAGTTCACAAGGCTTTCGCGACACGAGCCTTTTTTCTCAAAAATCTGTACAGCAAGCGCGGTTGGATTACCTCCAGTTTACAGAATAGGGTGACGCTCAGAAGCGTGAAGAAACCCAGCCTAAAAGCCAAATGCACCAATCTCGCCGCTGCTAGAGGGCAAAGTCTATGTAGCCTCCGGGGAAAAACACAGGATAACACTCCTGGGGCTGTTCTTGAGCTCGAGTTAAAGCGTTCCTGCCTACGCAGCGCTATCTGCAGTTTTCACTTTACCTTAGCACTCTCAATCGCCCGGTGATGAAGTTCTCGGGTGAAATTCCCGTCGGGACGCCCAGCATGCCGGGGATTCCCACCCGGGAAGAGCAGCGTCCAAAGATAGGGTGCGGCCCGCCCCCGCGACCCCCCTGGAATCGCCCTCAGCCCGTGGCGTGATCCGGCCCCAGTGGCCCTGTGCTCTCACCACGCCATTCTTTATGCCCGTCTTGGCGGCGCCGCCTCCGCCCGCAGCGATGAGCAGCCCGGCGCTGGGGTCCACCTGAAGCGCGTACAACGGAAACGGGGCCCGATACAGCTCTGGCGCCCGGCGCCGGCCCATCCCGCTCGCCGCGCGCTTCACTGCCCGCACGGCGGCAGCCGGGACATGCCGCGCCCGGCCTTCGACTACTGCCCCGGCCGCTTCCGAACTTGCTCCCGCCTCCACCGGGAGGCCTCCCGACCGCTCGCACACCTGCTGGCTTGCCAAAACTTTAACCGCACGCAGAGAACCGTAACTCTGCGCTGGGCCGTCTAACCCGGTCTCTCCAACGCGTAGTACGCACGCGCACGTAACCCGCTCTCCTCGCGCAGGCGCAGAACCGCCAATACGAGTCAGCACTAGCCGCCTGCGGAGTGACGCAACAACAGCGCCAGAATTCCGCTCTCGGTCCCCTTGTGATGACAGACTTACCATCTTTTGTGGGGGGTGTGGGAGGCATGCCCCTGCTTCGAGGGAGCCCACTTGATGATTCTGGAGGAGGAGGGGAGCTAACAAAGGCTGAGGGAGATTAATAAATCTTTTTTTTTTTAAGATTTTATTTTTCTCCCAAAGTCCTCTAGTACATAGTTGTGTATTTTTAGTTGTGGGTCCTTCTAGTTGTGGCATGTGGGATGCCGCCTCAGCATGGTGTGATGAGTGGTGCCATGTCCGTGCCCAGGATTCAAACCGGCAAAACCCTGGTCATCCAAAGCAGAGCGCAGGAATTTAACCACTTGGCCACGGGGCTGGCCCCTAATAAATCTTAAATAAAGAAATTCTTGTGGTAGGGCTGTCCACGCTTTAGGAGTGATACACAGACTCATACAAGCAGGGCCTTGACCTCAGAAGGAAGTGATTTGTCCAAGGTCACACACCAGAAACATGACCTGAGTCTCTTGCCTTTTAACAGAGGTAGAGAGGACTTTAAAACAAACCTGGCTTCAAATCCTGAATCCACCTCTTCCTAGTATGAGGAAGTCACTATGTACCTTAACAAAACACCTATCCTCCGTTGTGGACAGAGGTGGGACTTGGCTATTCTCACGGCTCCACACCCTGCTCCTTTGCCTGAGGTTTTGTGGATGGGGGCTGCATCCCTCTGACACCCTCAGAGGGAGGCGACTCAGCTCCCAAGAAGAGCAGGTTTCATCTCTGCCTGACACCCCACCCTCCTGAGGGGACCCTTGGGTTTCTGATCTCCAATGTGAGAGACAGGAACCAGCCTAAGAAGACAGGGCCATCTGCAAGGCCCCTGGCCTAAGGCCCGTAACCAACCCGCAAGCTAGGAGAAGCAAACAGAGACCAGCAAGGTCCACATTTTGCAGTGTCTGGACTTTCCCCGCTTAGGCATGCACCCTAGCACCCAGGAGTCCACTGAATGTGACCCTCATTAGCATAGTAAAAATCACATGCAGGGGTGGAGAGCTAGCG